AGTAGAACTGTCTTGACATTTGTATTAAAAATTGTGACTTTAGTGTTGATTGATAGTTGTTTTGAGTTCCAGATGTTGTTCAGTTGTATAAATCTTGTCTTTACTTTGCCGAAAAGAATAATTATAAGTAAGAATAATTTTTAAAAATCCATAGGAAAAGACAAAATGTGAACTTGAACAATATTGTTTTAAGACACAGAAATCAAGCCTGAAACACTGTTAATTGTGATCACTTTCTCATTGTTTCATTAATAAAATTCGATAAGTTTATCGTAGTTTTCTTACTAGTAGAATACAATACACTGAACTTAAATTCATACATGATGTTTTTACTTACATTTGTACACATTTAAATCATGAATCAATCATTGTTAGACCACCATTCAAAACCTAGAAGCACTGGATGGCCATTTCGTTCTGGTTAGCTGTGCGCATCCACGACTCTTGCTACTCGCAGCATTCGAACCTAGAGCTTTCATTCTTGCCGTCGAACGCGCTAAGCCTTTGGACTATGTAACTAGTATCCAACGGTTTTGATGTTAAACTCTGATCAATCTCATGATCTAATGCTTCCAGGTTTACTAATGCTGGTCTAACACTGATTCATTCATAATTTCAATGTGTACAAACAACCTTGTCCGTAGTAATACTACTACAATGCAAAATTTACATTATCTTTTTGTGAATAATAAGAAAAAGGAACTAACCTCACTTATACTGTTTTTTTTTAAAATAAAAAATTTAAATTATTTGAAGTTGTTGTTATAAACCAATCCGTTTTATTTTTTGTTTGTTTATTCAAACAAACAAACTAACAGTGGTAATCCAGAAGGATTAATTCGTGTCACTGAATTAGCTGATCAACTTGTTCAAGGTGGAGATTTTGATGTTTATCAAAAAACATTTGATGATATCAAAAAATTGATTGAATGTACAAAACAATATGAAGCAGACGATGAACTTGATGTTCTCGGTCAAGAATTCGATGAAAAACAAACAAACAATAAAGGTTTGTTTGTTTGTTTGTTGAGTTTTTTCAGTTTGAAAATAAACTGCATTACGGGGTTGTGAAGATTGTTAAGTTTTTTTTTTTGAAACCATGAATTGATCAATGTTAGACCACCATTAGAATAACTGGAAGCACTGGATGGCCATTTCGTCTTGGTATGAGAGACTGTTTGGCAGTACGCATCCACGACTCCTGCACCCCGCAGGATTCGAACTCAGGATCTTCGGTATTGTAGGCGATCGCCTAACCGTCGAACCACTGAGCCGGTATCTAACGGTGTTATTGTCTAACTTGATCGATTCATGGAGTTGCGCAACCTCATACACAGTCTTCGGTAGTTACTGTCTACACCCGAACAGGTTGAACTGTCAGTAGTATTTAATATTTTGTGTGAAATCAAATCTCGGGTTCGAACCCTGTGGGATGCAGGAGTCGTGGATGCGCACTGCTGAGGAGTCCCATACCAGGACGAAACGGCCGTCTTCCAGTGCTTGCAGGTTTCTAATGGTGGTCTAACATTGATCGATTCGTGGTTTCGAAAAGAATGAAAATAAGCTTTCAATAATATTTTGTTGTCAGTCAGTTTGGCAGACAGATACAACACAGAACTTCGTACGTATGTACATCAGTGCAGGTTGCTATACCGCATTAGCACTGAGATATACAAATGTCGATTCAATGCCCACAGTACTGGTGGTTGCAGAAGTAGGAGCAGTAATCGGAGAGATTAAGGTTCGACGATCTGATTTGAGTAGTATAATTGAATGAACTGAATTTAGAAAGGAAAAGATAGAGTTGAGGAGGAATTTAGAAGATTAGAATTTGAAGGGGAAACAAAGGATGAATGCATCTGCGTCATTGCAAACGGTTTTGAGCCATGTCATTCAGGATCTCTAATCATCGACTACTACCATCTTGCGGACCTCAACCAGGTAGTTGACATTTGCCAACATGGCTCGGTCTAGCTGCCAGTGACGTCATGGATTTGTGCCATGTTTTGGTTTGGCCGCCCCTAGCTTTCTTCCAACCTACTTCTACACTGCAAAACATCACTCGTTATGGCAATCGGTTGTTGAGCATAATTTGTGCTCTCTTATAACCGCTGATAGCTAAATCCCACTCACTTCTTTCTCGTGGCGAGTATGTTATTTACAAAATTGAGAAGACGAAAAGCGGAGGTTGGGCACTTAAACGGGATTCGTGCGTACGGAGGATCTTCCAATGTGAGATGAAAAATCCCGATTCCAAACCAATGATGACTATAGGCTTCAGGATCCTCAAAGAATGAATGGCGCTTTAATCTATCCTTGATCACTGATTATTATGAGGCTGCATCTCTTTTAAAGTTGCTACTCTGCTATGTAGATTATAAGGAATAAGTCGAGAGCTCAAAAAAGTCGCCTTGTAAGGTAAACGACCCGACTCAGTCTGGGCAGCCGGGCAGTAATTATCCTCCCAATGTTTATGTGTTTAACTGAATATTGCTTTATAATGACAAACTGAAATTGTAAAAACAACACAAATTTGTTTGCTGACTAAAGGACGAGAGTACTGCGCAGTAGTTCGCTCCGTCCTACATTATGGCTCTGAAACTTGGCCGGTAAGAGTAGAAGATATTCGTAGGTTACTGGTTTTCGATCATAGATGTCTTAGAAGCATTGCTCGTATACCGTGGGACAACCGTATAAGCAATGCTGTCGTTAGGAAACGAGTACTAGGTAAGGATGGCAGATCAATAGATGAAGTGGTGAAACTTCATCAGTTGAGGTGGTTGGGACATGCGTTACAAATGGCCGACCACTAACTGCCTCGACGAGCTATGTTTTGTGATATTGGAGTAGGTTATGAGAAAGCTTGGGGCGGCCAGACCAAAACATGGCAGAAATGCATGAAGTCACTAACATCTGGAATAAGTCATGTAGACTACCTGGATGGGGTCCGCGAGATGATAGTAATCGATGGTTAGAGAGACTCTAAATGATAAGGCTCAAAACCGTTAGCAATGTCGCAGGCGCCTTCATTCTTTGTGTTCTCTCAATTCCTAAACTTTTTAATTCCTCGTCACCTTTTTTTCTTTCAAGTATGTTTCACTACATTCTACTTCTTGAATAACATCGTCAAATCCTAATCTCTCCAATTACTGCTAATACTTGAACTATCTCTACTACTATTGGATTGGTATGGAAACTTCAACTTATTTACGTACGTACGTACGTGCGAAGTTCTATGTTGTTGATTGATTGACATTCGCCTGTTACACCCAATGGAGCACAGGCTGCCGATCAGTTGATTCTTCAACCTATTCTGTCCTGATAATACTCCAAAATTACTTCACTAAATTGACATAATCATACACTGTAGTGAATTTCTCTTTTTTAAATTTTCTTCCAATTCGTTTTGTATAATTCATTTTCCAACTAATCACAATTTGTATAATTTTTTAAATTCCAATTCTCTTAAATATCTTTATCATTTAAATTAGATGAAATAATCAAATCAACTGACAAACATGATACTGTTACTAATGATCATAATCATACTCATCATCAACATCAACATCATCACAATGACACAACTACAACCACAACCACAATTATGTGGCATTTAAAACGTTCAAATAAACCGAACACAAAGATTGAAGGACCGTATACTACGGAACAAATAAAAGTATGGCTTCAAGATGGTACATTCAATCAAGATGATTGTAATCATGTTTTATTACGTGAATCAACAAAATCCGATGGACAATTTTATCATATTACACGTATTGATTTTGATTTGTATGAATAAAAATTCTCTGTTTTTGTTTGTGGTCAATATGTATTCTTTCCTCTGTTGTAAATAATAATGATAGAAACAGATTTGTAAATATATAGAAATCTCTGATGTGTTTTGTATTTTGTCTGTTCGGTTTTGTTTTTCTTTCATGTCATTCAATTCATGTGTATATTGGAATAGAATATTTTATTTTTAATCTACTTGATTAGTTATTCGATAATATTGTAACATGTCTATAAGCAAATGATATGCTTGAATGCTGCTATTACGTGTTCACCTAACTCTCGGTTAAAGAGAGTAAACACAAAGGATGCAGTGACATGATAGACTATTCTCATTCATTTGTCTCTGGCCCGGCTAACTAACTACTAAAATAATAATACATCAATCCATGATAATCAAGGATTTTCAGAGTGGGCAATGTGAGCTTAAGGTCAGCTGATGCGAATATATGTACGATCAAAAGTACAGAATTAGGACCTTTCGAAGTGAGTTCTGGGGATCTAACCTCCTCAAGAAAATCACACATTTGAACATTTATGTAATAGGAACTGTACACATTGGAATGTGGCTTATACACTGCGAACTAATATTTAGTTGGGGAATATAAGTGTAGTAGTAGCAGTAGTAGTAGTAGTATATTCTTCACACTCCCGGCACTTTTCCCTGATTTCTTCCTCAGCCGAAATATGGTTTGTTCTCTTCCACAGTTGGTTATTGGTGATGATGTCTAAAGTGAGTATTTTGTGTAAACAGAACTGTTAATAAGTACCTGTATCTTTTGAATGATGGCTTTCGTAGTTCTTCAACTTTCCACTCCATACGATAAACGTGTTTTGATGTTGTTGGTGATACATAGATTGGATTAAAGCATGAATGTGTAGCTGCACGCTGATTGGCTCTTTCGTATCCACTCAGTGTCAGTCGATGCTGAGGGAACATTCTAGGATTTCCTTATATAACAAAACTATCAATATACTAACAAAGAATGAATGCACCTGCGCGATTGAAAATGATTTTGAGGCTTGTCATTCAAGGTCTCTAACTACTGGTGACTTTCGTCTGGCGGACCTCAACCAGGTAGTCGACAACTACCGATATGACTCAATCCACTTGTCAGTGACTTCATACATTCGTGCCATGTTTTGGTCTGGCCGCCCCTAACTTTCTTCCAGCCTAAACGTACACTACAAAACATAACTAGTCGAGGTAGTCGGTGGTTAGCCATACGCAACACATGTTTCAACTACCTCAGTTGATGAAGATTCAATACTTCATCTATTGACCCGCCATCCTTACCTAGAACTCGTTTCCTAATGGCAGTATTGCTTACTCCGTTGTCTTATGATACATGAGCAATGCTTTGAAGATATCTGTGGTCGAAAACTAGTAACCTACGAATATCTTCTACTCTTACCGGCCATGTTTCACAGCCTGAGTGTAAGACAGAGCGAACTACTGCACAGTACTCTCGTCCTTTAGTCAGCAAACGGATATCTCGCCTGCACCATAAGATATGAGAGGAATGAACAAACGTTAGACAGAACTTGAGAGGGAAGCCCAGGACAGAGTTGCTTGGAGAAAACTGGTGGGCGGCCTATGCTTCACAGGGGGTAACAGGCGTAAGTAAGTACCATAAGTTACGGAGGTTGGCAAAAGCTAATCGAGACTTCTGTATCCGTACTGAGATTTTGTCAGAATGAATAATAATTCCGACCTTTGCCGAGATAGTTTTACTCACATTCGGAATCCTAATATCGGTTTCTTCTATAGGTCGGAACAACTGTCTACTGTTGCCTATCACCGCTGCCTTTTCCATCTCGCTCGCTTTCGCCACCCAACAGTTCGCGGTCGTTGCGTAGGCTTTTTATCAGCCTGCGCTCAAGCTGACTCCTCACTTCATCATGTTCAGAGCCAGGTGAGACGATTTTTCGAGCATCCATCAGTTCGGTAGATGCTACTGAGATCCACGGCTTCTTCCTAGCCTTATGGTTTACCTAAAGAGTAGATATCGCCGCCATTTCCACAGCTTTTTGATATCATTCCAAACTACCTCTGGATGGGAATGACTTTCACGGTCGCCTAACTGTTTTTCTAGTTGCTCCTGGAATATATTCTTAGCTCTGCTATCATTAGTTAGAACCCTGAGAGGTCTTCTGGTGGTATTTTTCCTACGTCCAGTAAGTCGTAAACAAATACGCGCTCACACTAGAGCATGATCTGAATATGAACATGTGCCCCAGAACGAGCGAACGTCAGAAAGACCCCTGGAAGCAGCATCAGGGCTACCGGATAAACGAGGAGTAAATCGAGCTGCTTCTTTATTTCGACAAGGTCATATCAGAATAATAATTTTACTAGGATCTTGTATGCGCGTTTCCGAAGCGCAGCATACATCGATGGCACGCGATTCTAAAGTCCTAGCCAATGAAGCCTGTTGCCCTATTTGACACAATGTCCGTACATTAAAAGCTCAAACATGTAATTTACAACGAGGTTTCAGGAGAATAGGTATAACTTATTGTGAAATCGCACCGCTTGGATTCGATGTGCATTGTGATAAAGTGGTGTGTGAAGAGTTAGTCGTGTAGATAAGAGAGGTATTAAAGGGTGTAGGAAGGATTTGATTTTGACAAGTTTGGTCTCGTGCTGTTACGGGTATGAGGGCGATTGTCAATTCCCGGCAGCCCACAACGTGGAAGGTTGTTTCTTGAGGGACCTGAAGAGGAAGGTAGATTAGTGTTGATCTTGGAGACCTGGGAGCTTGATGATAGAGCCCAAGAGAAAACTGCTTGAGGCCGGGCACGCATGGCATTTTTATGAAAAGTTTTTTGAGTAGTAGCTCTGCTCTTGAAAGCACCCTTACCGTCGGAGACGGAAATCCGTGAGGTGTGACAGTTTTAGGGTCGACCTTTTCCAACCATTCCTTCCTTGTGAGAAAGCAGCATCACAGTAGAGGCTGGTTGTCCGAGTGAGGTGAGCTGAGGTGAGGTGACGTCAAGTAAATGACGCTACTCGGATCCTGTATCGGCGTTTCTGAGATCAGTGTTGATATTGGAGACCTGGGAGCGTGATCACAGAGCCAACAGACGACTGCTTGAGGCTGGTCACGCACGGCCTTTTTATGAAAGGTTTTTGAGTACTAGCTCCGCTCTTTAAGGCCCCTAGTGAGCACCCTTACCCAAAGAGACGGAAATCCGTGAGGTCGGGTGAGGCGCGACCTTTTTAGGGTCGACCTTTTCTAACCCTTCCTTCCTTGTGAGAAAGCAGCATCACTGTAGATGCTGGTTGTCCGAGTGAAACACCTTATTGCTGTCACACCCTTCAGCAGTCAGCAGTACGACTTCGCCCTCAGACTTCGAGTAGCTGCTTTCAGTCTCATCGTTCTCCAATCGACCTGCCTGGCATGGTAGAACCTTCAGGAACATATGTTTCAACTAATATAGCTCGGTTGGGTCATCGCGATAGGCAAGCCCGACCACCACATCAAGGTAGCAGCTACGCGTGGGATTCAGGAGAACATCTTGAATGAACTGGTGTCCGAGAATACCAAACATTAAGAATAGCTGGGTTGTAATAAAGAGATAATTATAGCAGATTTTCATATCGAGAATCGTGACTGGTGTCGGTTGTAGAAAAGAAGTCCTTGTTTTGCTAATCCGTGTCGTCACTTGCCATCAGAACCATCTTATTTGTCGATTACGCTACTCAGGTATGTGATGGTTTTCAATCCTTCCCCACCAAGTTTAATTTGATTGTTTCATATTTTGTTGTATCGGAGGATATTGCTTTTTCCTTTGTGTATTCTGAGATCTACTACTACACACAGGCTCTTGCTATACTGATCTTCTGCTCCTGTGTTTGTTATGATACTAAATACAACTTAATATTTTCAATACGTGCTGAGAAATATCATGTTCTTCACATTAACAGGATACCAACATTTACCTGGGAATAACATAGATTGCTTAACTTAATAATGAATATATTTAGCAACAATAGGAATAGAATAAAACTATTTAGTCAAGCATTGCTTTGTCACAGAATACTTCATACTACTTAAATTCGTCCGGTAGTAGTATACGGACACTATTCAAGATCAAAAATGCAAGTAGGAGGGATTTTTGAGACGCACTAGTGGCAGACTGAAATGACGGTGTGAAACGAAAAACTTGAAACAAATTTCTGCAAAATTCTTGATAGATTTGTGAAAAGAAAGCTGACTAGAAATGTTTGACTGTTAGGGATGTACCCAAGGAGGTTGTTAAACATGTATTGTATAAACTATGAATTTATTACAATCGGTCGGTGAACTACTACGCAGAACCCCGTAGGTACGTACATTGAGAATTAATCGATCATGTTAGTTCTGCTTCAATCAACTACAGGTATATATTAGCTTGACATAATTTTTGGTGAGTTAACTTTTCACGGGATATGGTCGCTAACCCCTTTTATCTGACCCTACTTCTTTTAACTGGGTTTGTGACCGGCAGTAGATCTAGGGAGGCTTTAGATGAAGTTCTCAATTTTTGAAAAAGATTCAGTGTTGTGTGTTCTTAGTGACTTGAAAGTGTGACTACATAAGTATGTATATACACATATATATATAACCAAAAGAACAACTGCTTGAGACTAGTCATGTAAGACCTTCTACGAAGAGGATTTTGTTGTGTTAACTTCATAATTGTACTGTCTTATCACAAGTGAGAAAGTAAATCTGTGTAATATAATAAGATTTAGCATTTTTAGAGTCAACTGTTTCATTGACATTACAGATGTTGATTGTTTGAAATAAAAAACACCTGAAAACCGTTATACTTCTAGTACAATAATTAGTACAACATAACCCGAAAAACTTAAATTTCTGTTTTTATTCTTAGCATTCTTCTATTTGAAGAGGCAGAACCTAACGAAATCAGTTTTCTAATCAATAAACCTAACTAAACTGAAGTCCCAACCTTATCCTGTAGAAAAATTAACTCACCGAAAATTATGTCAAGGTAATATAG